GGGAGCCTCCAGCTCCCATGAGCATGTGAGACTTTACCTGTGGGAGCTCCCCCCTGGACGCCGCTGGCGGCCAGGGGGGAATCAAGCGCTTCCTGGGGGCAGGAACGCTCCAGAAACATCGTCGCAAAAACCGTCAGTGCTTCCGCGGAGCGCTGCCTCTGCTCCCTGACGCACGCCAGAGGCAGCTCGAGCACCGCCGCCGCCCCCTCCCCGCGATGCAACCGAGCCCGAGGAAACAGACAGGGGTCCAGAAGCAGAGGGCCCCTTGGACTCAGCTGGGGCGGCCGCGGCCTGGGGCGCGGGCGAGCTGTCGGCACCTGGCACGGAGCCGGCGCCTCCAGCCTCGCCCGCGCTATAGCTGGCTGCGGGGCCTCGGGCGGCGGGCGCTCGGCAGGCTCTGCGGGTTGTGCAGATGGCTGGCGTCGACCCGCTGCCGCTTCCGCTGTAAGTCGCCCCGGATGCTCCCGATGCTCTGCCCGAGTGCGATTGATATCCTCCAACGCCTTCTGGAACAGCTCTTTGGTGATGCCTTGAGCTTGAGCATTGAGCGCCGCTCTGCGACGTTCGAGCTGCGCAGAGCCCTCGGGCGTGAGTTCGTAGCCACGGACGTCCTTGAACAGGCTGTCAGTGTCGAACAGGTCCGTCGCCGCTGCCGCGCCATCGACCACTTTGTCGATCGAAATCTTGACTGGGGCTGCTGCTTCCTTGTCCACGTGAAAGCCACCAGCAGCACGGGCGATTTCCGCAACCAGCTCGCGATACTCCTCATCCGAATCATTGAGAGCCGACTGGACGTATCGCACGACATTTCTCTGTTGCTCAGCTTGTCTCTCCAGCCGCTCCAGCTTGTCAAGCTCTTCGGTGAGTGTGGCTTCCAGCCTTTGAATGCGTGCATGAACCTTCGATGCTCGCTCTTGTGCTGGAGGTGCCACCTGCTCAGACTGCAAACGCTGGAGTTGCACGCGATACTTAGCAGCTCCTTCCTCATCTCCTGCTTTCTCCAAGACGCCGATGAGCTGCTGCAGCTCCAGGGCACTGACCGTAGGCACACGTCGATCTCCTTCGAAACTGACTTGTCGAAAGCGGGCACCTCGGCCTCGACTCTGCTCTCGTCCTGCTGCAGCAGCGGAATCTCCATGTGCTGGTGGCGTGGCTGACCGCTGCCTGAGAATACTGACAGGAGGAGGAGAAGGGCCATCGCAAAGTGCCAACTGCTTGATATTAGTGGCTGCCTCGGTACGTGCTTGGTGACAGTGCTTGCACCTTTCCATGCTAAACGTGTTCTTTCCGCAGCCGCAGAGTCCACATGTCCACTTGGGTTCTGGTACTGAAGGCAACTGGTGTTCAGCTTCCCACGAGTCCCATTCCCAATCATCAGACCACGGCTGCGCCTTGCTCTTGCTTTTACTGCCTTTGCCTCGTCCAGGTGGTTGCTGCGACGTTCGCCACGGCGCCGCTGCATATTCACTAGGACGCCATATGGTGTAGCGGGGTGCGCCCGATGTTCTTGCAGCTCGTGCCGAGGCTCCTCGGGAACCATCTCGCCAGCCCATGGAATCCACCAAACCTCTATGTGACGAATGATGCGCTCCCAGTAACTCTGCTGCCTTGCCGAGTCTGACAAGAGTCCTGGCCCGCGAGCGTCTGCGCCTGGCAGCACGGTGCCAGGTCTCCTCGGAAGGGCCTGTCGCGCTCGTAGCAACAAAGGAAGGGAAGCGCAGAAGTCTGCGCGGCAAATGTGCTCGCCGGAGGTCAGACCTGTGAGGGCAGAAAAGTACGAATCTCGGATGTGCCCTCGCGCGTGCGCTCAGGCCAAAACTTTTCCTCCTTGAGCCAGAATGGCTACGGATTTCCTCCTCCTCCTCCTCCTCTCCTCTCCTCCTCCTCCGCCTCCTCCTCCTCCTCCTCCTCCGCCTCCGCCTCCGCCTCCCCCTCCTCCTCCACTTCCTCCTTCTTCCGCCTGCTCCGTTCCTTTCCCTTGTATCAGTAATTCCTTCCTGTCGCACTCCGAGGCCAGTCGGCAGGACGGGCTGGGCGTGTCGTCTGAGACTTTCTCACCATACATGATCCTGAAGATTAGAAAATGGCTACAGCATCACACATAGAGCCCGGGCCGTGTTTTAAATGTGGCTGTCGCCTTAGCGCCGCACACAGTCGTTCAACACTTTGCAAGCGCTTCACGGATTAAAGGCGAATGGTTTTCACAATGTGGTTTTCGCAATAGCGCCGCGCAGATTCGTTTAATCAATTTCACGAGCTTCACGGATTTCGGGCGGGCCGTTTTCAAGATGTGCTCTCTTCTTAGCGCCGCGTACATTCGTGTTACGTAAGAAGTTGCAATAGTTTCACGGATTGAGGGCGGTTCCTTTTCAACATGTGGTTCTCGCCTTAGCGCCGCGCGCATTCGTCATAACAGTTTGCAAGGGGTCATGGATTCCCATTGTCAACGAAAAAAAATGATAGTTTGAAGCAGTTCTGGGTTGTCAGGGCGCAACTGTTACGTTAATTCGCGGTGTTGACGTCCCAGAAATGATGCTCTGGCACGATTCAGGATCGTCAAGACGCAATTGTCAGGTTGATTGGTGGCGGTGGGCTCCCGAGAACGGTGTTTTGGCACGCGTCAGGATCTTCAAAGAGGTTGTCCCCCAATGAAGCATTTTCCTCCGTGTAAATGAATCTTTGTAGGGCCAATGAAGAGGGAGCTTGGAGGGAGGGTTTACTGCGAAGGCCTCACGGCCGGTGCCGCCGACCCTGGAGGCCTCGGCCCTCGACGGAAACGGGAGGGAGAGGGCGGGCCGGGAGGGTAGTATTCTGACCCGGGACCACCCCCGGGACGCCCCCCCCTGGGACCCTCCCCCGGGACCACCCCGTGGGACCCCCTCCCCCCCTCCGCGGGCAAGGGATCAAAGGGAAAGAGCTTCCCTTCGACTCAATGACAACGTTGCTTTATTTCGCTGTGGATGGGCTGGTGTATTTCGCTTTGGCTGGCGTGCTTGTGGACGAGGGCCCAAGGGAAGGGAGGGAGCGGCGACGGACTCAGGGGAAGGAGGGGATGTGATGGCGGCGGCGACGCGACGGCGGCAGCGACGGCGATGGCGACGAAACAGCCCCTGTCACACGCCGACAGGATCGGCGTATTCCAACATCGTTGGTGAGCCTGGGGTTTACACTGGTCCTCCTCCTCCTCCTCCGCAGCAGCAGCAGCACGACTCTAACTACAACAGCCCGTTGAGGGCCGCCGCCCGTACACCTTCGGAAATCTCTGTCGATACAGCTCGTTGCTCCTCTATTCTGGGCGGGGTCCAGCCATAGCGCCAGCAGACGGAGGAGGACGGGCAACAAGAAGAGGGAGGGCCAGCAGGCAGAGGGGGAGCAGACGGCAGGGGGCGGGAGCGGAAGAAGGAGGGGGAAGAGGAGGGGAGGAGGTGGAGGGGGAGGGAGGGGAGGAGGAGGGAAAGGGGAGGGAGAAGCAGGGCGGCTATTTCGTACCCGAGCAGCCCAAGGAGCCCTCTCAGAGGACGGCGGGGGGGAAAGGTCACCCCCAAGGGCGCGAAGATATTCGCGCTGCGCGCATCGCGGCTTGGGTCGGAGAGGCGCCGTTCCCCAGGAAAGCGGCGCGAGAGCGCGAAGGTAGCCGCGCGTCGCGCAGCGCGGGGCGCGATGCGCGAAGTTAGGTAACCTACAGGGAAGGCTGAGCGAAGGTGGGGCTTGCGTTGGCAGCGCCAGTGCCGCATGCTGAGCATGGCCGAAGGAACGACGGACAAGTGGGATCATGCTGAACTGGCGAGGGATGCTCCTCGCCTCCTCCCCCTTCTCCTCCTCCTCCTCCTCCTCCTCCTCCTCCTCCTCCTCCTCCTGCTCCTGCTCCTGCTCCTCCTGCTCCTGCTCCTGCTCCCATCCTCCTGCTCCTCCTCCTCCTCCTCCTCCTCCTCCTCCTCCTGCTCCTCCTGCTCCTGCTCCCATCCTCCTTCTCACCCCCTCGTCCCCTGCTCTTCTCGTCGCCTGCTCTTGGCCGGCCGGCCCCTCTCTCGGGGAGCGAGCTCCCCCCCCCCCTTCTATCCTCGTCCTCAGCCTCCTTGGAGCGGCTCAGGCCAAGCTCGATCGTCTGCTCAGGCCCCTCTCCCCTCCCCCCGCCCCTCTTCCTCCCCAGACCCCCTCGAGTCATGAAAAAATCACGACGGAAGGTTTTCGCTATTTTCAGCCTCTGGGGGCCCATACCGGCCCTCGGGACAGTCAAAAAACGACTCGGGATGGAAAACCGGTCCCGGCGAATAGGTCCGGACCCCTGGGGGTCGCGTAATGAAAAAATCATGACGTCGGGGGTCTGGGTCCCCCGCATTCAGCCTCCCTGCGGCACCATGGCGATGGCGGCGGTCGCCTCTGCCTGGGGCGAGGTGGTCCGGCGGGCGATGCTGGAGATCCGCGGGAGGCACCCATATGCACCGCCATGCCCGACCAGGGCCACGCGCCTGGGCCCCGGGGTGGTGCACGGACTCTCCCGGCCTCGGCGGCAGGGGCGTACGCCCCACGCCGGGGCCCAGGGTCGGGACCCGGCGACAAGGGCCCCGGGTCGGCGCTTCGTCGCGCAGTGCCGCAGGAGGAACCCGCATTCGCATGCAGGTTTTTGGGGGGGGGGCAGTTCAGCCCGACGCGGGATTGCAAAAAAAAACCCTTCGTTTTTTGCAATCCTTTTTTGCAATCCTTCGGTTTTTTTTGCAATCCTTGGTTTTTTTGCAATCCTTCGTTCAGGGGAGAGGTCACGAAGCCTGCTGCATGCAGCTGGTCTCGGCCCCGCCGCCCGGCGCCTTGGTCGATACGCCGCCTGCGCAGGGAGGCGCGAGGGGAAGCCAGCCCACTGCGTGTGAGCTGTTTCGCCAAGGCCTCCCCCCTGCCATCCAGCCCCTTCTGCCGTCCGACCCGGCAGGAGGGCCCTGGCCGGGCGCAGCGGTGTGGACTGGCATGCCCCCACTGCGCAGGAGACGTCGCAGCACTACTGGCACATGCGGGACGCTCCCGAGCCGCGGTGGGGCGCGGCCTGCGAGAGCCCTGGGGCCTGCGACAGCTTCGGCGCGGGCAGCGGCTTCTGCCTGGTGCAGGCCGTCAGCCACGGCGACGGCAGCGGCGGCCACTGATTGACTAGGCGACGGCTTTGACGGCGACGGCGACGGCGACGGCGACGGCGACGGCGGCGGCGGCGACGGCGGCGGCGGCGACGGCGGCGGCGGCTTGGGCGGCTTCCGCTCGGTATCCAGGCCGTCAGCCGCGACACCAGCGCCGGCAAGGTCGTCTACAGCCGCGGACCCTGGGCTCCTTTGGTTCAGCGGCCTGTGGCGGCGCGCAGAAGAGTCGGGCAGTGCCGAGGGGGGTCACCACCAGGAAGGTCACCATGTCCTCTTGGAAATCGAGGATCGAGGGGGAGGGAGGATCGATGATTCATGATCGAGAAAGGTCTGGGCGTTCCTGGTTGTCGCTGGGGGCCCTGGGGTGTGCTGGGGGGTCCAAGGGGCTCGGATCCGCGAGGAGCCTGCGACCCCCCCTAGTGGTGACCCCCCTTGGCGTTGCCTGGAAGAGGGCGGGGCAAAGGACTTGACGCAGAGCCTCGTCGTCGTCATCGTCGTCGTCGTCGCGTCCGCGTCGTCGTCGCGTCCGCGTCGTCGTCGTCGTCGTCGTCGTCGTCGTTTTGGTCGTCGACGTCGTCGTCGTCGTCGTCGTCGTCGTCAGCATCGCCGTCGTCGTCGTCGTCGTCGTCGTCGTCGTCGTCGTCGTCGTCGTCGCGTCCGCGTCGTCGTCGTCGTCGTCAGCGTCAGCGTCGGTGTCAGCGTTTGCGTTGTCGTCGTCGTCGTCAGCGTCAGCGTCAGCGTCAGCGTCGTCGTCGTCGTCGTCGTCGTCGTCGTCGTCGTCAGCGTCAGCGTCAGCGTCAGCGTCAGCGTCAGCGTCAGCGTCGTCGTCGTCGTCGTCGTCGTCGTCGTCGTCGTCGTCAGCGTCAGCGTCAGCGTCAGCGTCAGCGTCAGCGTCAGCGTCGTCGTCAGCGTCAGCGTCAGCGTCAGCGTCGTCGTCGTCGTGGTCGTCGGGGGGCGGCCTTCTGAGAAGGCAGGAGGCTGTTCCATTCGTCGGAGAGCGCAGCGCGGAGGCCTGGGGCGGAAAGTGGGGCGACACGGATCAACCCAGAGTGTATCAAGTCTACGGGGGAAGGAAGGCGGAAAAGGCGGACGAGGCGGAGGGGGAGCAGGAAGAGGAGGAGGAGGAGGAGGAGGAGGAGGAGGAGGAGGAGGAGGAGGAACAGCAGCAGCAGCAGGAGCAGCAGGAGCAGCAGCAGAAGGAGGAGGAGGAGTAGGAGGAGGAGGAGGAGGAGGAGGAGGAGGAGGAGGCGGAGCAGCAGGAGCAGCAGGAGGAGGAGGCGGAGGAGGAGGAGGCAAGGTGCTTCTCGGCAGGCATCCGAAGGTTCCGAAGCAGGCCCCGCTGAGAGCCTCGCGCCCCTGCCTTCGGAGCAGGCAGCGCCCATCGCTGCGCGCCTCGCAGAGGGCTGGCCCCTGAGCGCCACCATGGCGGCCTGGGTGGCCGGGGACTGCCACGCTCGTGGCATCGCTCGGACGTGTGCTTTTTTCTCGGCCAGGTCCATCGAGGAGGATCTTGGATCATCTCACGAAACAAACCGGACAACATCGAAAAATGCACGTGGGATGGACGTCCGAGCGATGACAAGCTCTGGATGGCTTCGCTGCGCCAACGCACCGAAAAGTCCTGGGTCGCCCCCAGGGGCGCGAGGGTAACCGCTAGTGGCGCATCGCGGGGCGCGATGCGCGAAGTTACGTCACTTAGGCGCAATCCTTCGGTCCAGCACAGGGAAGCTTGAACACCTGGCCTTGGCCAGCCCTTCCGCTGTCTCCGGCCCTGGCTAGTTTCCCCCTGTTTGTTGCAGCCATGGCGACACCTGGCGACCTCATCTGATTTTTGTTCGGCCTCGTTTCAGCCCCTGCCAGTTTTCCCAGCCCTGGCCACCTGCACTCTCATGGCAATTTCCAGCTTCTCACAGCTTTTCTGTGATCCTGCCCACCTCAGTGGCCATGGTGACGCTCAGGGGCCAGGTCGTTGAACTGAAGGAACTTGGGCTCCGCAACAGCACCCCTGGCACCAGCATGTCCCCCGAGGCTTCGGAGGGGATCAATTATTTCTGCCCTCGTCCTTCCTGCCAGCCCATATCAACTGATGCCAAACATCCAATCCCTTTCGCACCCCCCAACTGGCGGCCAGTTTGGCATGGGCTGGTAGCGGGAGAGTCCCGATCCTCATGCAGTTTGCCCCTTTCTTCAGGACGTCGGCCGGCGCGCGTCGCCCGGGACGCATTTGAAACAAGGCATTTGGAGCGGAGCGCGACGATGCGAGCTTATGTTCCCCAATCAGAGCTTGCCTCTGTAGGGGTCCTGGCGGATTCATATGATTAGGTGAGGTGTGCCACCGATTTCCGCGGCCCGCCAAGGTGCCCGGGTGCCTTATAGCCCTATAGTTTTATAGCCCCATAGCCCTATAGCCCTATAGCCCTATGGCCCTATAGCCCTATAGCCCCATAGCCTCATAGCCCCATAGCCCTATAGCCCAATAGCCCAATAGCCCTGGAGCACTGTAGCCTTCTAGCCTTATAGCCGTATAGCCCTCTAGCCCTATCGCCCCAGAGGCCTATAGCCCTATAGCCCTATAGGGCTATAGCCCTATAACCCTATAGCCCTATAGCCCTATGGCCCTATAGCCCTACAGCCCTATAGCTGCATAGCCCCATAGCCCTATAGCCCTATAGCCATTTAACCCTATAGCCCGATAGCCCTCCAGCCCTATAGCCCTATAGCCATATAGCCATATAGCCCTATAGCTCTGTATGCCTATAGCCCTATAGTCCTACCGCATCATAGCCCCATAGCCCTATCGACCTATAGCCCTATGACCCTATAGCCCTATAGTTCCATAGCGCTATAGCCCGATAGCCCCATAGCCCAAAAAAACCATAGCCCTATAGCCCTAAAAAGACTCTGATCGGAGTTTTTCTCCGGTATCAGAACATGAACGTACACACAGGATGCCCAGATCTTCACGCAACACATGGATACGGAATGACACGCCGAGGCACCGTAGATATCAAAAGACACGCCTCGTGCCTACAAATCAGTACGCACGCGTTATGCTCTCTTGAGTTCCACACCAATTTGTCAACATAGTCCGGAAATTGGTCGAACAAATAGATACTCGATACCGCGGGCGAAATTGAGGCACATCCGCTGGAATCGGCGCGAGCTCCGGCCCGTGCGAACGATCTCTCAAGCGAAGAAACAGGTTAAGCACTCGGGTGCATAGAAGGCCCCGATTGGCCCTCGCACTGACGAAGGAGCCTGTCGAAAGATGCCCTCCAATTGATGAAGTGGCTGTCCAACATGTCCATGTGTAGATCCACATCTAATCAAAATGTGTATATATATATACACATCGATATATGTATAGTTGTGTTTATATTGCATGTAAGTCGATATGCGCACTCGATATTTGGGCGCTCGCTCAACACAACAGAGGATTCGGGGATTCCTGCGGGACAGTTTGGGAGGTTCCTCAAGTTCCATTCTGGAGTTCTGGTCCCTGCTGGGATTTCCACCGGATTCCTTTTACGATTCCCTGCGTCGGGCGTCTCCCAGCTCCCCCAGGTTCCCTTCAGATCCCCGCGGGATTTCGCCAGGATTCCTTCTGAGGTATCTTCAGGTCCCTCAGAATCCCTAGGATCCCCGACACGTTCTTCAGGATGCTCTTTATTAAATCCCGGGAGATCCCCAAAACATAGTACCTGACGCCTACACGCGTGCATACACAGGCACACACGTGCACATGCACACAGACATGCAAGCATACACGCATAAACATGCACACGTTCCAATCACCTTGCATTGGATTCTGCGGGACTGGTATCCCCTCTGATCAACAGCTGTGTTTTCTTCTTGCTGTTCAGAATTTGATACTGTTGTCTCAAGTATATATTAGTTGGCCAGACGTTGAAGAGGCATTCATATACACGGACAAGTTGCGGCAATCCTGATGCACACACACACACATCTACAGATACACCTATGTATATATTCAGTTTTAGATGATGATGGTGAATGAAGCAAACTAACCAAGGAATAGCTCCATCGAAATATGACTAATCACCACCAGCTGGACCAGCATGGCGTAGTCGCTGTGCACGATCATCCGCAAGAATATGAAGACCCAACTCACATGCTGCTCTCATCATCCTTGCTCGCATTGAAAGTGTCTGAGCCTGGCCACGGACAATCCAGCCAGTCTTCGACGTAACCCTTGGTACACTTGTCCAGAAATTAGCTTGGACACGATGCGTTGTGGCAATAACGTCACGAGCTGCTTGATGGTATGGGCATTCAGCCCAGATATGTCTGAAAGAAGGCCACGGGTGATCGCAGTGCGGACACGGATTCCCCGACTGGCGTCTCGTTTCTGATGATACTGCACCTGAAAGAAATATGCAGAGCAACTTCTTCTTGGCATCATCTAGGCCTCTGGCCCACTTTGAATAATACGGATGTGAAGGAACCTCAATATCCACGGACTCGATTTCTTCAGCATCCCTCCTCTTTGAATTGACTTGCTGGAGACACCTCAGGCGGGCAACCTGCCGAAGGGCGTGTTCAGCTCGTCGCTGGTAGCGTTTGTCCTGATTTCTGCGAGTCCAAAATCTTGTCGTCTGAGGAGCACACAAACTTCGCACTGCATCCAGGACACGATGATCATCACGGGGGTCACACTCAAGTAACACTCCTTGCTGCTCAGAATATCTGATGAGAGTGAGGCCGAGGATTGCAGCGTGTGCACTCAGCGAGTGCTCCAGAAACTCCGACCACTCCAGGGACTCATCCATCACTTGGAAAGCATATAACGCTGCACCATATCTGGGATGAAGGTGTATTCTTTGGGCCCACCATCGGCCATGACACCACCACTTCGTGGACGTCCTGATGATAGCCCCATGCAGAAGCCGAGGTACGTCATCAGGAACCGGTACAACCACAGGAGCCGCCCAGTACCATAACGGTCGTATGTAAGAAACAGCCAGGCGCTCACGAACATCTGAACCACCTGGGATGGACTTCAGCGTCTCGATGGCCTGGTAAACTTTCTGCCATCCCTTCCTTGGCAGGATCGGGTACTCTGGATCGGCTGGGCGACACTTCAACCCTAAGTGTTCAACGACACGTGGTGGATCATCATCTCGGCTCCAACGTTGACGTTTGTTCTGGTTCTCAGCGAACCCCACATCTTGATCAAACTTTGTCGTGAAATACAGCTCCTCATCGACGATGGCACTCGTAGCATTTGTCAAACTTCGATCGTCCATGTAGGCCATTCCACCACTGGGCTGCCACGGTACAAGACAGGCACACATACCAGCAGGAGCAACTGCATCCCCCTGCGGCAATCCACGCTCAACATAAATAGGGCTCGTCATCTCGCCTGCGACACACAGATGTCGTGGGCCACGCCAGGCCGCGAGGGCGGTGAAAACGACACTGTGCGGTACTTCCTCACGAAGAAGAGCCTCCACTCCGATCTCATGATCGATATTGTCATAAGCACGGGACAAGTCCATCTCAGCCCCAGCCTCGGAATTTGAAACCTCTGCAAGCCACTTGGCGATGGCTTTGACACACGAGATTCCACGCTTGCACGCCCATTGGTTGGACGTGGGAGTTGGTAAGGAAGTCGCCAACGCAGACATCCAACATCTCAAGAGTAAGGAACCAACTGAAATTGGCCGAAGATCAATCTCACTTTTTGGGATACCGACCACCCTCCAACCGAACACCATATCACTGAAATTTTGTGGAAGATGACCCTGACGTTCGACAGCCCAGAGCGATGTCTGACACCACAACTCGTGTAGCTCCAGGATCAGCTCAGGAAACAACTTTCGTACAGCCCGCAATTCATGTGCTCCCCACCCGTCAAGGCCGGCAGCACCTTTTGCATGTGCTATGATGTGATCCAGTGTCTCAATTGAGGGCAACCAATCAACTGGCCTGTCTGATTTTGGAAACTCAACATTGTCTGCATATCCTTTCCAAGCACGCAAGTGTTGATGAGCACGATCAGGAGGACCATCTGGGCACCATTGTCGCTGCCAATCATCTCGCATTTCCTTGGCCCCGAAGGGCGGGGCTGGTGCTGACTGCCGAAAGATCGGAGTCGTCAGCTTGTAGAGATCCCCTGACCACGTCGCGAATCTCTTTTTCCACTCCTTGGGCTTCTGCAGCTGCGTGACTTTGTTCTCCTTCGCGATGGCGGTGGAGACAATCTCGAGAGCGTCCGCATGCGTTGGGAGGCCATCCTTCGGGCACAAGATACCGTCCATGCCCGCCTGGCCAAACTGTTGCAGGCGCTTGCCACTAAGTACCTCGTCGGGCGTGTGCTCACCACCAGCACGTATGTAGTTAGAATACCGTCGGTGAAGCCGCAGTAGCCTCCTCAACGCAATTGTCTGCTCTGGTCGGTGCACGGATCCCGTCCCAACTGGGCGCGTGGAGGGCGCCGATCCCTTCGGCCTCTCGGCCTGCCTGTTCATGATGACGAGGTCGTGCTCCACTGCAATGTGTAGCCCAAGCTCTGCACGTCGATGCCAGCGCTGCCAAGCTTCATACAGAGAGGGGGGGCCCATCTGCTCGTGCTGGTCGCGCTGGTCAAGTTCATCTTGAAGCTGCTGACATTCTTCCTCTGGCGGCACTCGCTGGAGGACATAGTCGGCTGTATGATGGAGTCGCGCCATGGCCCTGGTCCACAGGGGGACTTGAATGCGATATCTGACAAGCCCATGGTGCGGGATGCCAGGGAGTAACTTCATACCTTCGCACTGCGGAGGCTGAGCTGCAAGACTACCAAAGAAAATCGCTCTCGTAGGCGTCGTCGCAACTGCTGTTGTTGGCACTGTCTGCTGTGCCATCTGGAAGCCTGGTCCCAACAGGTGCTGGTGCGCATTCCTCCAGTTGAGGTCCCCGAAGATGAAGATGGGGTGGCCATCAATGCCTAAGCATTGAACATACTGCAAGAAGTGAGAGAACCACTGCATGCTAAACTCCTGCGGCGCATAGACCGAGAGATAGGTCGCCACCGCTGCGCGTATGCCCGCCATGCGGTGGGAGAGGGTGTCGTCCCGTATGACTGTAGCTCGCCCCACACGTGGTCGCCGCAGGATAGCTGTCCCACCCTGCATCACAGCAACCCGAGATCCACTCGGTGGTGGAGTCGAGCAAGCACACGAAAACCCCGCTTTCTTCGCAATATT